TGATGGCTATCGCCGATCATCCCCACTTCTCGGTACGGATTTACGCCCCTGATTCGCACACTTCAGTGTCATTACATTGGCCGCCCCCCACCCCCCAAATAAAATCCTTGGCTACGCGGCCTGCTGGATAGGCATGAAAATGTTTTCATTGTTAAACCTTCCTTATATTAAACACGCAAAATCCCGAAAATGAGTTTTATATGGTTACCTCAATTTACATTTCTTGGTACAATTTCCAAAACAAAATCAGTTGGCTTTAATCGTCCTCGCCCTCCTCTTCCTCGTCTTACAAAGGCTTTTCGTGTTGGACGACTCTAGTCTTGTCATTACAACATGCGCACTAGCCCTGCCAATTGCAAAACCATTGTACACGCCAGTCTACCAATGTTACAACCACAGCCTTGACTTGTATGCGTTCTCCGCAAGAACAAGAAACACTTGCATGATTTGAGTATGTAATCTTATGGTGTGGGGGAGTCGTAACAGGGATGAGTGACAGGCTGTAGGGACAGTGTTTGCACTGAAGCAGAAAAAACGCTGTAGGCCTGCCAGGCGCCTATAGCTTCTTAAAAGCTGCAGGCCGCCAGAGCAAAGCTGTAGGCGCCCGCCAATTGTTGGAGCAAAATTACTCAGTAATTAAACAGCGGATATCATGTTCTTCCTTATTTCTATTAAGTCTGCATTTCCAATGTCCATAATCATAATCCTCTGTTTTTCCTTCTCTCGCTGGATGACTGTTTATGCTTCTGTTGCCGGCTGGGCTCAGAATTAAAGGGCGTAGCCTCTAGGATTTTACTGCATACAACTGTAACTTACTGTATAACAAATCGTCGCTATATACCCACATGTATTTGTCACCAGATAGCTTAATTAATTATTACATTCAACGCTACGAAATTTGACCGCGCCATGACACCTGCGACCGTTGCTGCCACCCTGAAAAAGTTTCGCGTATTTGCATTTTAATTTTTGCAGGTAAATGACGAGGGCTAATCAACAAAAGTGCCAATTATTATCTTATACATAAATGCGTATTTAGACCGAACGATATTGATTTTAGGGCAACATTTATCCAGTATTTAGTAACTAAACGATATGTCGCGTTGATAAGATATTACAATCCTTTGCCTTTTAAATGAATAATGAAGGAAACCCCTCGGTCTGTAGCTTGGTGGAAATGTGCGTTTCTCTGCGCAAACTTGCTCATGATTCGTGCGCTTTGAGTTGGCGCCACGCGTCGGTTGTAATCAAACTGTAAGTCGTTAGTTTTTAAAATTTAAAAAAAATATTTCTAATGGTGATTGAACCATGAAACTTTTTATGTAGCGCAATTATAACCTAAATTAGCTGAAAATAACCCTAGAACCTAGAGGCTACTGTTCCTTTAAGGGAACGCCACATCGTTGTTATATCATGTAGCTCCTTGGTAACTACGACTTTCCACTTTGACAGCAGAGAGACAGACTGGTAGTCTGGTACACATCGGGGACTTCTATGATGGTCTGGGTCCCAGAACATTTTTGAAAATTATAAGCTCTGAGATGCAATCTAGAGCCATTTCAGGGTACTCCAATAGCTTACAACTAGCAACACTTTTTGGTGGAAAAAGAAAAAATTATGTAAAATTTACCTACTGTAAAATTTTGATGGGCACTGGGGAATTCCATCTGTGTTGAGTGTGTCCAAAGTAAATGTATTTTGTAGACATACAAGCTCTTACGTAGGGAAGCTTTTATTTAGCTACACCCTGTATAAATGTATATAGTTTTCCCAAACGTTAAAAACAATATGACACGGTTAAACCTGCGTGGTGCGACGAGGCTGTACTGCTGTTTGCATGACTAGTAAAGTAATACCACACGACGTGCTTTGCAGCTACAGTGACTTATGTGTGTTAAAACTTGAGACAATTATTATTATTTACTGTATAATTCAACATGATATGTTACCTAAATCTTCTTAATATTATTTTAAAACAGTATATATACTGATCGTTTGTTAACTACCAGTGATACTTTATTGTTTACATCCAAACGTGAAATGCGCGGGGATGTGAGAATTACTCCACAACCTAGCGCACGTGAACAGTGATCGTGCCGCACGACCCGTGCACGTAAATAAATCCTGGCCAACACAATGTGTAAGGTTCACTACCACTGGCCAAAAGTAAGCTCCACCCACTTCTTATCGATTTTTGGTATGCCAACGCTGCTACTGGATTCAGGAACCTGTGCTAACCTGTACGTCCGAACATCCCACGCACGTTTCTTGAATGCCAACTAAAGTTGATTGCAGTGGGCAGTCAATAATATGCAGTGGGCGAACGCATTGTTTACATGTATGTCACGGTTTATCACGGATTAGTTTTCAAATAAATACCCCTGGAAGTTAATATGCATGAACAGATTTCTACAGGTACCAGTTTCTCAGTGTTTCGAGTTTTCGGTGATCAAATAGCCGTAGGATCAGCGGGCCTGTTGTATCAAGAAGCTGTAGGCCCGGCACCGAAACTGTCGGCGGCGGGCCGACGGGCCGACGTGAATTTCGAACACTGCCCCAGACCCCCATAGAAGTCCCCGATGTGTACCAGACTACCAGTCTGTCTCTCTGCTGTCAAAGTGGAAAGTCGTAGTTACCAAGGAGCTACATATAACAACGATGTGGCGTTTGTGAGCCCCCGGCAACGAAGCATAAACAGTCATCCGACGAGAGGAAGGATGCATCTACAGTATTGTAAGTCTTTCCTACTTGTCAATCGAAGACAGAAATCCAAGAAACGAAGAAAAGTCAAGAATCCAAGAAACGAAGACAAGTCGGAGCCGAATGAAACGAGATGCAGGATTCTTCGACCGCGTCTACAATACTCACAATAGATGTAGACGTCCCTGAGGCCCTGCAGGTCGTCCACGCCACCTGCAGTCGGCAAGTAACACATGTAGCGTCCGGCGTCGTCGTGCTTGCTCGCGGCGACGACGTACAGCTGCACGTGCGAGGGTCCGATCATCGTCACGTCGCTGTCGTTCACCGCCGACTCCTCGCCCTCGGAGTACCTCATGAAGAAGGGCAGCGACTGGCCCGGCGTCTTCGGCCGGCACGTTATGTTAAAGCTCTCACCCTCTTCTATCGTGATGTCATCCTCCGGCGTGATTTCTGCGGAACGTGTCGACGATGAGCCGCGATTCAGGCTCCGGATCGACGTAGTGACGTAAGCCAACGCGAGAGTATGTAAGCTACACTTGTGTTGGCTTACGCAGAGATGCCAACACATATTTGAAGCAATCTGTAGTTTCTGGCCATCAAATTAGTAGTTCGAGGGTCACTACGTGACCCGAGTTTGCTAGGGGGGTCAGGCTTGCCCCCCAGAAAATTGTTTGATTCTGAGATGCAATTTCCTGCATTCTGAGGGTCAAAAATGACAATAAATTGACAAAAAATGACAATAATTGAAAAAAATATATTTCGATCACAGTGAAATTCGTAGTTTGATACAAACTGGTCGTAGTGGTGCAAAAGGAATAGAAATTCGTATAAAATACGGATAAATCGTAGTGGTTGGCATCTCTGCTTACGTCATTGTATCGAGGCTTTGGCTACAGAGAGACTCCACGCCGGGAACATGAGAGTGCGGTCGTTCACAGACAGCGATAAAATTAAATACAAGGCTAAATGCATGAAGATGCCTAGCTGTCTCGTGATATTTTAAGTTGCTAACATGAGTCTAGATTGTACTGTGCTAATAAACCTGCGCTGCCAGTAGCAGTGATATCTGATCGTAAATTATTACTGACAGGCCTGCACCATAAGCCAGTATTATGCCAAATAATTTACCGATGACAGAAAACGTTTACGAAACAAAATTATACTCTGCTAGAATCTACTGAATCAAACCATGTGAAGTTGAACCAATGTTCATGTACATAAACAAACACATGGATCAAGGTTTATCATCTCAGTTCACCAAATTCCTTACCACCACTGAAGAAAGAAAATGCTGTGACAATAGTGTTCAAACATATGACCAGCAATAGAATTTGGCATCTGCTACACTGCGCCATCTTGCTTCTATGCGTTGCTCGCTGGCTTAATGATGCCACATTCTATGATTCGCTGTAATAAATAAAGAGATTAACTTGGTTAGGCTATAGGATATTAAACAAATCCATTAAAATAATCTAAACTCACACTGGATATATTATACTATATGGGTCAAGCATTTAAACCTATTCCAGTGCTCAATTTTAAGGTTTTTTTTGGGTTGTCCGGAGGACAACCAAGAGAGTAGCATATGGTTGTCCCTCAAGAGTTTTGGTTGTCCGGATATTATTTAAACATGTGCTGCATGCGCTCTGCTCACGTGATGCTCAGTGCTGTAAAGCAAAAGGCCTAATCATACATGTACATTTTGTACGTATTGCAGTGACAGCAGACATGGCCATTCGCATTGTTTCACTCATT